ATTTAAAACGTTTCTCCCCTTCAAGTTCTTTTTTATTATTATAACTTGCAAAAGATTCTATAAATTTAACAATAACTGAATTACGATCATTAAGCTATTGAGAAATTGAATACTTCAAAAGATTATTTAAACTGAATCACTTCTGATCATTTATTAAGTTAACAATATCGTCATATACATTTTTGCGTTCCTTTTGAACAATTTCTATTACAGCTGTAACACGTTTTGATTGATCATCAAATCGAGTATTTCATTTTTCTCTTAATACTTGATTTTCAAATAATAAATTTGAGATTTGAGATTTTAATTTATTGATCATTTTCTGATTTTCATTAATTATTTGCTGATATTCATTTATGTATTTAATATCTTGCAGCCGTTGAGATCTAAAAGCAGATAAATCTGCTTTGTTCTGAGATAATTGTGATAAAAGGATATTCATATCTGGATGTGGTAAAGAAACTTGAATTCTAATTTCACTGATAGCTTGTTTATCCTGATTACCTATTAGTATAGGTGTATTATTATCAATTGTTAATGGTTAAGACGCACTATTATCAATAATATGCTATGGCTGTTTATGTTAATTTACATTGACAATTGGTATATCTAATATTTTTAAATACTCAAAAAGATGATTAGTAGCAATTATTTGATTATAATGTCATTCACAAAAAGAGTAATTCTCCAAAGATTCACTTAATGATACTAATTTTGAAAAATACTTAGAAAAATGACTTATTCGTTTAAGTACTACTTTTCCTAATGCATGTCATTACCGTTACTTTTGTTTGATTTCGCATAATGCTAACTGGCTTGAACTTGAGTATATTTCAGTAAGAGTAGCAAATAAACATAGTAAAGTAATAGCCTTTGGTCTCTTTTTTGTAGTCACTAAAGGTTAAAAATAAGTAAGAGTCGGTTAATAATTGCAAAATTGAATAAAAGAACCCATAATAAACCTGAATTTGAGGTAAAGTATACTTCAGTCAGTTTTGTGAATTATGAATAAAGGTCAATAGATTATGAAAATATACACTTGAATGCGTTTATTTCAATAATTAATAATAGGCTAGTATTTAGTTTTTCTAGAAATCCTTATATGAAAGGATTTGCAAATTA